CCCCTCGTTTGTTGTCCTCTTCTCTCTCTCTGCCTACGGTTTACCGGGCAGTTCTATTTGTGACGATATATATATATATTTGTGACGATGTACACAGCCCCTCGTTTGTTGTCCTCTTCTCTCTCTCTGCCTACGGTTCACCGGGCAGTTCTGTTTGTGACGATATATAGTCAAACAGAGCTGCCCGGTAAACCGTAGGCAGAGAGGGAGAAGAGGACAACAAACGAGGGGCTGTGGCAAACTGTTTCGTCGGAGTTTCACCGACTCATCAGGAGGCTATATATATGTATATTTTTAACTTTAATTTTTGATTTAAAATTTGGTAAGGAATTTCGATTTTACCTTGAGGCAAAAGTTGTTCAGTTTATTTTTCTGCATAACGTAGTGTTTTTTTTTTGTTTTTTTGTTTTTTGCTGGGACCGTCTTTGGCCCTTGTACGGCCGGACCGCCCGGGCAAAACAAGGTGACCCGGGCGGCCCGACTGGTAGCCTAGTTAAATTTTATTTATTGAACTTTATCTATTAAATTTTATTTATTTAATTTTTTTTTATTTAAAATTTATTTCTTGATGTATTGAAGATGACAAGTTGACAACAGAAATCGGGTCATGAAAAGTCTGCAAATGGTGCCAAAAAAAGTGCAAACAAAGTTTAAAAAATGATGTGATATAGAAGAGCTGAATGACTTTGGGAAAAAAAAAGAAGAGCTGACTGATAATCTTCAATATTCATGTTCTGCACATGATGCTCACCACAGGAGAGTGGGGTGGTGATCTGCCCACTTTGCAAGGAGAAATACGTCAGGCAATGCGGTCCTGTTCTTTTCTGCGAATGCCGACAATTCAGGCTGGACACGCAAGATCGCAAGGTACCATCTCATCAAGACTTACAGGCTTTAATGCTTTTTTTTTTTTTTTTTTTTAATAACAAAAAACACATGACCCATCTATTCTGGGGGGCGCAAGTCCGGTTGCTCATCACCGGCAAGCATGTTTGTACATGAAAAAAGAAGCGAGAAGGAGACAAAGATGAGGCGGACAAGGCGAAGTTACAGCCACACTTGCAGCTCTAGTGGCTTACACAAGGGGGGGGGCTGCTTCGGCCGTTCTTCCCCCAAGCCAGTGTTACACACCCCGACGGTCGGCGCCCTTGACTGGTCGGCTGGTCGGCACCTAGTGGTCGGGGGTCGTCGGCACCCCGCCAAAAACCGGGACCCCCAATAACCCCACCAACAACCCCATACCC